TGCACCGGGGACCTAATTATAGCACTTAAAACCTGGAAAAGTCAGATTTTCGTGATATGTCACCTTTAAATCTCAGAGGATATAGCAGAGGTTTTCCAAAAAGTGGGCATAATGTATTGCATGTGAGCTGTGTTCCTTGAAATAGTAAATATTATTATTATTATTATTATTATTATTTCTTGTGTTTCACATAGTCATTAACAATTACATTTACATTTATGCATTTGGCAGACATTTATCCAAAGCAAATTACATTGCATTCAAGGTATACATTTACATTTTATCCATTCTTGCTTTCCTTGGGAATCAAACCCATGACCTTGGTTTTGCTAGCACTATACTCTGTTTGAGATATCATATGAACTATTTCTCTCAAGAACTTATTATTATTTTTGGAAAATAGTATTATTTCACCTAAAACCTTAAATCAGTTCACCTTAAACTGAAAATACGGTCATCATTTACTTACCCTCAAATTGTCCCAAATTTATATGAGTTTCTTTATTCTATTGAGCACAAAAGAATATATTTTTAAGAATGTGGGTAACCAAAACAGTTGACGGTAGCCATTGACTTCCATAGCATGTAAAAAAAATAGTATGGAAGTCAAAGGCTACCGTCAACTGTATGAAATAAATTCATACAGGTTGGAATCACATGAGGGTGAGTAAATGATTAATTTTTATTTTTGGGTGAACTATCCCTTTAAAACGTTCAGTTACTTTTTAGGTCAGGAACATAAAATATAATTTCTTTACAATGAAACAGCCACACTAGCTTCAAAAAAGTTGTTCATGTTGTATTTTTGTTTAACACACATTTTTATTTTTTCACACACAAAACAAAAAAAGGTTTTTAGTTCATAATCATATTCTGATCAATAATTGTCAGACCACTGCAGTTCCATCATTGACCACCTCGAGGTCGTCGTCTCCCTTTTAAAATACCCTGCTTTAGACTGGACATCACTGAACTGGGGCAATCAGCAAGAACAAATGTGCTTATGCTCATTTTAAAATCTTAATTGAAATGCATAATTTTCATTTACTCAAAAATTAGTATTACAGATTACACAGTTACTCTAATTTAACTCATTTAGTGATAATCACCGAAGTTCCTCATTATGGAGAGTACAAATGACCTCGGTTATCAGTCAGTGCTAATCACATTTACACTGCTACTGTATGCTTCAGCAGTGGAGGAGATCAGGTGTGCCAAAACAGCGGCACCACTATCACGAGACCAGCTATAGCTTACACTGTGACATAATACCCAGCATGATATGAATTATGCACACTGCATTCATTAACTGGAGGCCTGGTTGTAAGAAGAACATGAGGAGCATTCTGTCAAATATATAATAGGTATACAGTGTCCACCAGTGAAAATACTTCTGTTTTGCATATTTTCTACTTTAACACAGTTTGTTTTCATTACATGGTTCAAAAAGAATCATGGGAGAAAATACATTGCAAAACACAGTCAGATAAATGAGACAGATGGTATGTGAAAGGTCAGGGCACTTCCATTTCCACTCATCTGTCCATTCTGGCAAATTCAGAACGGAGAGAGAGAACTGGATGTAGAACAATGAGCTGCTACAATCTAGAAAGCGCAGGACAATAGGCCGTTTGCTATAGGACCGGTTGCTCTGTTGGACGGCAGTTCAGGACTGTAAACAGGGTGTGACTGACTGACAATGCATTGTGTACAGGATTTATAGTGTTAAAAAGAAAGATTAGTGCATGGAAGAGGATTTGTTTGTTTCTAACATTTCTTTTTTTAATTAAGTTGCTTCAGCATGGCTGCCATTGGAACACAATGAAAACAATGCATTCACTTTAATCATATAATCATAACAGAAGCATGTAGTAGTGCATTGTCAGTGTACTGTATGTGTATGTTTGCTTTATAAGACTTTTCATATGTTACTGCTATTTTCCCATAATATTCAGATCCAGTAAGTTTCATGCATTGTTTGCAATGATAGATATTACTTTTAAAAACAGTATTGCATTTGTGTGTATGGTGACAGAAACTTGTATATATTTATATGAATATACAGTAGTCAACCTTTGAAGTGGATCAAAAAGTTCATCAAAGTTGTCCTAAGACAAGAATGGGTATTGTTTTGGTTTTAGGACAACTTTGATGAAAGGTTTTGATCCACTTCAAATGTTGACTACTGTATATATATGCTGAATGTTAATGCTCATTCCTTTCTTAAATCTTTAAAAACCCTAATAATTAAATTTAATAACACTGTTAAATGAAATCTGATGATTATCCATTTTTAATACTGTACATTATAGTACTGTACACTTTTACCATTTAAAATGACTGATTTTAGTTTTTGGTGTTTTATTTTTAATTAGTATACAAAAGTAAAAATATTTAAAAAGTTTTGTTTAGACAAAATACTTTTATTTTCAGCCATTTATCAGTTACTGACCATATCATGAAAATTATTATTATCTTGTTGGTATTTTATTGATTGATTTATATCAATGCATTTCTAACAAAAACATCAGAATAAGAATTACTGAGGGTATATTATTTTAATACCACCTTTATATGCAACCAATAATCTATTTAAACCAATGTGCGAGAATTACTGGCAATTATACATTACTCTACTTACAACCTGGTCATGACCTTAGTCAAATATGCTCATGTTACTCTAAAACAGCTACTGAGTTACTTTATAAGAGCCTTATAACTCCATAAAGCTCATTCTAAATGCTAGATTTCTCTCCTTACCTTGACAAATAACTCAATATCAGGTTCTTGACCGTCTCCCATTGTAGACACTTTCTTTGATTCAGGTATCTCTCCTGATCTGTCACCTACATCCTCCCAGCAGTATTTTGCAGATATTTGGGTTAAATAACGTTTTGCCAAAGGCACCAGGTGTTGTGATGTCAGCTAAAGCCCAGATGAAAGGTGAATCTAGCTCTCTCCCAAACACGAGTGATGTAAAAGAGAGGGAATAGGTGAGAGGCTTTAGTTGGGGGCGGGGCTTTACTCTGCCCTGCCCCTGCCACAAATAGCTCTGTTGAGCTTGAGTGACAGTTGAGAATATACCAGAACTGTAACTGTGATGTTGAGAGATGACCTTTAAACCATCTATGGTATATATATGTTCATATACATATATTGCATGTAAAATTTCTCACCAGAAAAATATATAAGCTCATTGTTTAGAGTCTCTGCCACTTAACTCATGCACCATCCTGTCCCTGTGTAACTATGTGACATGTTCATGGCCCAGAAACTCTGAGAGCATCTTGATATGCCACACCTGTGAGGTGGATGGATTATCTCTGCAAAGGAGAAGTGCTCACTAACACAGATTTAGACAGATTTGTGAACAATATTTGAGAGAAATAGGCCTTTTGTGTACATAGAAAAAGTCTTAGATCTTTGAGTTCAGCTCATGAAAAATGGGGGCAAAAACAAAAGTGTTGCGTTTATAATTTTGTTCAGTATATATATATATATGTGTGCGTGTGTGTGTGTGTGTGTGTTTGTGTGAGTGGAAAAAAAAAACACACTGAATGCACTTTTAATAAATGGATCTGGAAACCAAAAGGTTGAACTTATAATCAAAAATAGGGGATCTAACTCTCAGGTTATTTGAGGTGAATTTTACCTTTAAATGAACTGTAATTTGCTCTGAATATATATGTCATCTAAATTACCTGATGATGAATAGTGGTTAGAAACAACCAGGGTTATTATAGTTAACTAAAACTGAAACTAAAATTAAAACCATTACGAAAAAAATATATTTCGTTGCTTGAAATAAAATAAGTGTTAACTGAAATAAAATAAATTATAAACAACTATTTATTTCCGCTAGTTTCCAAGGCAACATTTCTCTTTTCCATTTATGTAGTAAAACAACTAAAACTACAAATGATACATGTATGTATGTATATAACTACTAAAAAATTACAAAATTATTTTAAATGATGGAAAATATAAAAATCAAATACTGATTCAAAATATGAATAAACACTATAATATTATTTAAATTATATTAAAATAGCACTAGAAACAACATGCTACAACTGCTGTGTTTGTAAATATAATGACCAAATTACAAGGTGCCATTTATTAAAATGCTCCAAAAAAAAGTCTGTCTTAAATCTCATCATATTATGCTTTTACATCTTCTTAAGGACCCCAGTATTAAAGATGTTAAGTATTAATTAAATTTGGACATTATTAACATCATTATTCTCTTGGAAATGTATTTATGTGCTACAAGTGGATGCGTTAGAATTTATAGTAGGCTGAACAGCTTCCTCTACTGGTAGAATAACAATATTCATGCTACAATATAGGAAGCATCTGGCAAGTGGCATATTATTTTCTAACAAGCTATCTAAAACTGTTTAAACTTTGCTTGAATTATAATGGCAACTAATAATGCTTCATAATAATGTTGTAAATTAAACCTGATGCAGGCAAAATTACACAGGCTTTCCATACAATAAATTTCAAGGGAAATATATTAATCAATTTTGATATAAAAGCATATTTTCAAGTAGGAAAGAAATTTTCCTCAGTTATTCAAATGGCCTATGACCACAGGTTACATCACTGCTAATGCGTCTGAGTGCAACAGAAGATCATCTTTCACCTTAGATGAGTTGAAATATGAGTTAAATAATGCCACTGGATGAAGAGCTTCAGATTGAAGTCCAACTAAACATTCTCAGTAACAGGTGAGTCTCAAACACATTTTTTTTATGGCTCAGTTCCCAACAGGTTAAATGCAATCACTGCAGTGAATAATTAACTTCTGCATCGTGCATATTCGCTGGAGTGTTTTGACTGAGCCAAAGTGCTCAAATTGTTTTAAAATAGCTATGTGTTTTAAATGTTCAGGGTCACACTTGATCAAAGTAGCAATTGTGTGGGAGGATCTGAATATCTGTATCTGATTATCACATTGCTGATGCTGCTTGACATTTAAAAACCAGAAATGGACACTGTCACTAAATCAGAATCTTTTGCTCCTAAATAAATAGATTTTCATTTTAAATTGAAATACAATTTTTTTTATTTTTAATAAGAGTTAAAACTATTGCATACTGTAAATGTAAGTAAATGTGCATTGTAAAATGTCAATATTGAATCTAATCAGTAACCACCAACATCTGTAACATTTAGTAAAGGTGGCTATGTAAACTTTAATCAAAACCATCTGCCTATGACAGTTCATTGCCCCATTATGCACAGCCAATAAGATTAAACTCTTAACCAAGGCCAACACTTACTTGACCAATGCTGTTATGGTTTTTAGTTTACAGTAATTTATGTAAGTTCTCTTGTATAAAGGCAGCCTTGCGCTGGGCCACTCAACAACAACTATACTCCTTTATCCCTACTTTTTTATGACTATATGTGGCCATAAAGTAGTTATGTAATGTTTGAATTGTTCTGAGGGTTTGTTAAGTGCAAAATGTGTATCACATCCTGGTGCATCTGTGATTGCCATTTTCAATGATAAACAGATAAAAATACATTTATTCTTGATGCCATTGATAGTTTGATGTTTGTCATGGAATGTGATATAAACATGAGTATGAAAAAGTCTCAATCCCACAATCACAGTGGCTCAGTCGGCTGAGTGACCACATCATGTACAGAGACTAAAGTGATGGGCAAAGAGAGGCCAAGAGTTCATTTACTCAGGTCAGGACTTGAAGTTAATGATTATTCATATTGCCTGTCACAGTGAACCTTCCAAAGGAATTGCAATCAGTTCAGGATGTCTAATTCTGATAGACTGTGAGCAAGCCGAGGAACTTTTGAAAACCCTATTCACGTTAATGATCAAGAGGAAAATCTTACCTGAATGAATCATACCAATCGTTTTTGTAATGTTTAGGCCATTGTGCTTAACATTGATTTGTATCTGTTGAATCATTAAATACCTGCTACATTAACATTTACATCCCATTTCTTCATTCAAACTTGTTTTAACTGCATTCCAATCAGCCTGATTTTCTTTTGCATTCTTGGATGTCAAAACTATTTTTCATTTACATAAAACAGAATGAATTCATAACTGCTTTGGACTGAGATTGAGCAGGGTTTACCAAGTGAGGCTTGAGAGATTGTGATTGAAATGCTGAAAATGATTCAGTGGGATTTATCGTTTTATTTGTTATGATTATGATAATTATAGTTTAGCATAATTTGTCATTTTTTTTAAGATATAACATTGGAGTATTATAATTTAGTTCAAATAGGGGCTCAGGGTTTAAAAAAAAAAAAAGCTGGGCGTGAAAGGTTTGACGATTCATTTTCAGGTTGTCTTCACATTGTCTTTAAGGGCCAAAGGTAAGCAGAAATATGAGTGCTATCACAAACCACACCCAACTGACCTTCAGACTCATGTAACGCCAACTGTAATGCCTTCTTTCTTTAATAAAAGAATCAAATAAAAAGTTTAGGTTATTTTATGCAGCTGTCAAACCAACAGCCCTTACCTTGACAAAAAGCGCAATATCGGGCTGATTCGGGTCGGGACCTGCAGCTGTCTCTTCCACGGTGCTGTTCTCCACGTCCTTCAGGCTGTAGTCAACTACCTCCTCGGGTTCTGGTGATCCGTTCTCTGGGAGACTGTAAGCCATGAGCAGGTCTTCGTGGACCAGTGAGGGCTGGTCATCACAAGGGTCTCCAGTTTCCTCTAAAAATGACGACCCGTTAACATCTCCATTCGACAGAGACGCCACCATGATCTCGCTTTCGAGCTGCTCTCCTGGTTCACTGGATGGTGAAGGCTGTTCTTCTTCCTCTTGAGATGTTCCTCTCGTATTTATGTAGTCTGGATACGGTTGATTGAGCGTGCTGTACAACGGTTCCTCTGGAATGTCTGTACTCGTGCCTTGATTCTCATATTTCGGCTCTGGGTTGCTGTTAATGTTCTCATACGGCCTCTCATATATGTTTTCGTTCGTCTCTTCGATTTGTTCATATAAGTGTTCTTGGACGTTTGTGGCCATGATTAAAGCTCTTCCAGGACTGTGGTGCGAGGACGTCTGGAGATGTTGGAGCCCTCACCTGTTGCAGCGAAAGATGACAGGTCACTTATAAATGACCTTTGCTCGATGATTATGTCATAAAGTGACTCCCCGCTAGGTCTTCATATCCTCTTGAGATCCAGCCAAAACATAAAGAAACAAAGTTGGCTTTTTTCATATTATGATGTATTTATTTGTTTCCGCAAAATATTTATTATTAATATTGTTAATGTTAATAATGTCCTGTTGCCCACGTTATTGTAAGAAAAAATATCGAACAAATGAAATGTTCTTTAATTTATGGTAATATAAGAGTAACTACAAACCTACATTTGGTCCCAAACTAGTTTCATTTGTTGAGGTTTATTTAAAATAAAATAAAATAAAATAGATTTTGATCTCCTGAGGTTAACAGTCAAAATTTTCGGAAGGTTAAGCACCTCTTGAGCCATTTGTTGAGACAAAAATAAATAAATAAAAGTTAGGCTACAACAATAATAATAATTTAAAATATATGTTTATTAATATATAAATAAGCGAAGTAATAAAGTATTAAAAGAGCTCTATATAAGACCAAAAAGAATTCCTGAAGTGGTGTTGGTAACGCAGTGTTTCTTTGCGTTTTCCCAGATTTTGCTTTAAAATATTCAGCTTCACCACCAGTGTTGGGGAAAGTTACTATACAAAGTAATGCATTACAATATTGCGTTACTCCCTAAAGAAGTAACTAATTACGTTACTTAGTTACTTTTTATGGAAAGTAATGCGTTATGTTACTTTCGCGTTACTTTTTAAGTATAAGCAGGGCTTGATTGTTCTGTGAGTGGGATGAATTAATGCACATTCACATTTAGTCTAGAACTACATCATGTTCACACAGAGCACACAATTACTCTGCACTCCCGATTTCTTCCAATATGGGGTCAGGAGAGCTGTCAGTCAATAAATGGGAAAACAAAGTAACTGGCATTACCTTTTTGAAAAAGCAACTCAGATATTTTCTTGTAAATTAAAAAAGTAATGCGTTACTTTACTAGTTACTTTAAAAAAGTAATCTGATTACGTAACTCGCATTACTTGTAATGAGTTACCCCCAACACTGTTCACCACATATTAACAGGCATAGCCTATGTCAGCATAATATCACAATCCAGTGATTCGCTGGTCATTATGAGTCATTTCTGAGCGAAGCTCGGGGAATAAGCTTATGTTTAAACACAGATGTGTTTATCCTCCATGTTCTGTTTTTGTTACACACTGTAAAGCCAGTCTTACCTGTTTGTGTGTTTTCATTCGCTTACTTATTTGCTAAACAACAAAATCATAAGCCCTCAAAACTTTCCCGGAACGTCTGAAAATGAAGTAGGCTATATAATTTTCAGGATTTCTATTCACACGAGCCTTATGACCACTAGGTGGCAGTGAGTGATCAGGTATATTGAAAACAACAATCCAGCGCTACACCAGTATCAGTCCATCAGTCAATTGCATTGTAAAGATGATGCAAAATATCCAAGCTACGTTCTAACATTTATTTTAATAAATGCATACTTAATTTAAATCTTTTTGAAATTAGATTCAATGCAGGATTGTTTTCTTTGATGTTTGGGATGTTTGAGTATTTTTAAATACATTGAAAAATGTTCATGTTGTGAGTTTGGACATTGTTTATCATCCTTAAATAGTCTTAAATCAGGGAATTTCTGACAAAAGTTATGAACCCTTGTGATTTTGTTTTTATTTTTTATTTTTTTGTAGGAAGTGGTCCTCCAGCCATTAAATTTGCATGCCATCATATCAGTCATGCCAAATAGTCACACTTTGGTTACTGTATTAGTTGTGAGTGCTGTATAGTCAGATTTGCAGATTCACTTCACTGTAAGAGAATGTTTATATGAAGACTTAACCTTTTTTGTGATCATGTTTTGATCTTTTGCTCAAGGAAATTCAGTTTCGCTGTACAAATCTGAGCTCATACTATACATACATGTATATATATGGTTTAGCGTCTTTCTTCATTAGTGTTAAAATTCTTGAGGCCACTTGCCTCAGAGGACGTGCACAACGAAAGGTGCATCTCATAACAACAAAAAACAGCAAAATAGACTTTGTGGGTATATGTTTCCGTTTGTTCAGACACCTCATCTGCCATGCAGCATTACTTTTTTTTTTTTTACTTAAAAAGCCTGTTTAAGCTCTATATAAACTTTTGTCAACCTCGTACAAAAGAAATCTCAGTCAAAAAAGATGAACCTAAACACTTTAATCTAGTTATGAGCACATTCCCATAGTTAGATAGATAGATAGATAGATAGATAGATAGATAGATAGATAGATAGTGATTTTCAGTTTTTTTTTTTTACCACAGTATTTACTTTGTACTCCAATGTACTATGGTACATGTTCAAAAAACATTCACTGACTTTTTCTAAACTAGTTACATGTTTTCCACAGTCCTACGCTCATGGTCACGAACGTCACTATGGAAAACTGAGTTATTTTCCCGGGTTTTTGTGCGACAGGTACATTTTTCTCCTTAGTAATCACCCCAGCAACAACAAACAGCGCCGCCCCGGCCAATGAGCTTGTGCAGCCGCCTCTGTCCTCACTTCCTCCGGCTGCGCTGCGCTGGGCTGCGCTGGGTTTGGTTTGGCACCATCAGCCAGCACGCAGCCATCTTGGACTGAGCTCTATCTGGACTGGCGAACCCCACACTTCTGGATGGGAGGAATTGAATCAACCTGGAGTGATTTAGAGCAGATTGTCTGGAGCAAAGGGACGAAACTGCGCATTCAGAAAGCTTACATCAAGATCCAGAATCGGTTTTAAGCGGACGCCCCCCTCCCCTTTTTCTTGTCTGAACGCTGTGTGCAGTTTCTGAGGGGCCTGGGAACTGTTTGTGCTTGAGTTTACAATACGCACTTTTGGCAAAGTTTGTTAAAGTAATCCAGTGCAGCATATTGGTTATGACATGCTGTTTGCCAGATCTTTGTGGAGGGTTGTGTCACCGGTGACCTGTTGTGCCGTTATGCGTCTGGATAAATTATTGCATTAATCTGGATCTTTTATTTGTGCTGGAATTTGCTGTTGATGTCGATCGAATCCATGATCTTCATCAGCTGGTGCCCGGCAGCTGTCCACCCGGCGAACTGAAGCTTGCTGTGATCAGACAGACTTGGACTGCAGGAACCACTTTGGAGATAAAAGACAAATTAAAATGTCAACTCGAACACCACTGCCTACTGTCAATGAGAGAGATACAGAAAACGTGAGTATGAATTCCACTGAGGTTCACTGGAATTTCTTAGTATTTCACAGCCTTCATTTGGCTGTAAAATTCATATCCACTTTTAAACTTCAGGGCGGGCGGACTCGCGCTACATATGTTGATGATGACACCATTAGCAGGGTTGTGAATGTGTTTCCCACAGTTGTGACATTCTCTAAAGTTAGGGATCTCATGTTTTTACAGCGCTTCATAGGCAAGTAGTGTGTTTCGTCGCCGGCGTGACACAGTTTTAAAAGAATAAACATCAGCAGGCATGACGACGTGATTTACAAGCATGTACACTCTTTAAAGTATTTTTGTAATATTGTTTATACCTCCCCCTAGCATTTAAATGTTGTTTTGTATTTATATTGATTGTTTTTTATATTTTCTTCAATTTAAAAAAGGCATTACGGCGTGACTCACGCGCAGCTCCACTCCGCAAAAGAACCGTCAAGTCACCCTCACGCGACTTCCTGTAACAATGTTTCCGATACAGAGTAACAATCTTTCCGCTGGAGTGATGCAGTGTAGCGTATTTCTGCTGATATCATATTATTTCCGCTACAATGATACGTTGTTACGATATTTCTGCTACAGAGGTACAGTGTAACAAATGTTCTGCTATAGTGTTTACACTGTATTTCCACTACACTGATCATTTGTAACAATGTTAATGCTACAGAGGTGCAGTGTAACAAATGTTCTGCTATAGTGTTTACACTGTACTTCCACTACACTGATCATTTGTAACAATGTTAATGCTACAGAGGTGCAGTGTAACAAATGTTCTGCTATAGTGTTTACACTGTATTTCCACTACACTGATCATTTGTAACAATGTTAATGCTACAGAGGTGCAGTGTAACAAATGTTCTGCTATAGTGTTTACACTGTATTTCCACTACACTGATCATTTGTAACAATGTTAATGCTACAGAGGTGCAGTGTAACAAATGTTCTGCTATAGTGTTTACACTGTATTTCCACTACACTGATCATTTGTAACAATGTTAATGCTACAGAGGTGCAGTGTAACAAATGTTCTGCTATAGTGTTTACACTGTATTTCCACTACACTGATCATTTGTAACAATGTTAATGCTACAGAGGTGCAGTGTAACAAATGTTCTGCTATAGTGTTTACACTGTATTTCCACTACACTGATCATTTGTAACAATGTTAATGCTACAGAGGTGCAGTGTAACAAATGTTCTGCTATAGTGTTTACACTGTATTTCCACTACACTGATCATTTGTAACAATGTTAATGCTACAGAGGTGCAGTGTAACAAATGTTCTGCTATAGTGTTTACACTGTATTTCAACTACACTGATAATTTGTAACTATGTTAATGCTACAGAGGTACAGTGTAACAATGTTTCTTATAGTATGAAGCATTGTTTCTGCTCAAGTGTAGTCTTTTTCACTACATTGATTCAGTGTGACAATATTTCAGCAACATTGTAACAGTATTTTCATTCAAATTTTAGTGCCAATATTTCAAATATAATGATATTTAGCCATATTTCCAGTACAGCATAACAGTATTTCCACTAAACTGATTCAGTGTAACATTTTTTTCTGTTACAGATCAAATAATGATACAGTGTAGCAGTATTTCTGCTAGTGATAATGTTGCACTGTATTTCCACTACAATGTTACTTTGTTACAACATTTTTGCTACAGAGATACAGTGTAACAATGTTTCCTATAGTGTGAAAAACATTGTTTCCGCTCAAATGTAGTCTTTTTTCACTACAGTGATACAGTGTAACGATAT